CTGAACCAGCATGACAACATCTTAAGAAGTTACAAAAATAACAGTTCTTTTGAAAATGTTATAAAATTACTGATCTTCATAGCAAATTTGAGTAAAATTATTGTATTTATTACTGATTGAAAGTAAACTTACGCGAAGGACTCCTAAGTAATGGAAATAGTGAGATATTCATGAGTGCCATAGCACATACAACGAAGTTCGTTAGATGTTGACGTTCAACATTATTGATAATAATAATAATTATACAAGCTGTGATATTGTCAGAGCATACATTATAGCTTTTAATATGCATACATATAACTTTTAACGTCTATACATGTATAAATAGATTTTTTTTCTGTAAGAGGCATGTAGGTGCCTATTGCCCTTCCTGTGTGATAGGGAAGTATGTATTTTGGATGTTTTCCCGATTTTAAACAGCTTAAATGCATTATATGCAAAGAAGCATGAATCAAATAACTTAGAAAAGCTGATATTGGGAGGGTTTTCTTCTATTTTTTTAAAACTTAAGAGTTTAAATACTTGGGTTAATGCCTGCTTTCAGTGTCATTTATTTACAGATGTTTTCTGAAACACCAAATGTATCATTGTACAGGTACCTCAGTTTGTTTTATACAGATAGGTAAAGTCTTAGTTACTGAGATGTGACAACTTCATGTCTGGCATCTCTGCTACGCATAAGAGATGAGCCGTGAAATGACTGGAGCGCATCAACTGGGAGCTGCCACACCACTGCGTCGGGCCAGCATGTGCCTGGCTGGTTGCTTTTCCTCACGTGTTATGAACTCTGACTAGGAGAGGGAGCGGTTACGCTCACAGTAGGCACACATACTGTGGATGCAAATCCGGGTTTTGTAGGTACTGCCATTGCTGTCTCCTGGGTATGTAGTTCAGTGCGCAGTTCTGAAAGCAGTGGTGTCTGCTTGGGCAGACCCCTGCAGTTTATTCACACACACTCTTGTTGCCTGCTTAATTATCCTGGGTCTAACGCTCACATGGTGAACTAGATCTGCGTTATTCATAACTAGTTAGTTTTGGATGGTTTATTTTTTAACTCGGAATGTTTCCTTGGTCCAGTTTATGAAATGGCAGTGCAAATGGCTGTACTGGCTTTGGGGCAGGAATAATCACCGGAGGGGAGACTCTTAAATTCAGCACTGCTGCTGAAAGACTTACTCATGACTTCAATTAGCAACTTGCATTATTGTTGGAAGTGGTGACATAGAGGTGTGTTCTGCTGGTTTGCGTCAGATGTGCATGGGAAGGGATGCACATCTATGGTCAGAGAAACCTATTGTGCAAAAAACCAGGTGGTATAGATAAGCCCGATTAAGCTTCATTTTAGCAGATTTGCTTCAGCAAATGCATGGAAAACCAAAAGGCTGCAATAACTATATTCATTATTTTAGCTAAAATTGAATTCTTTGCCCAGCAGTAAGAGTTCTAATAGCAAAAAATTAAAAGTAATTGACACAGAGTTTGAATCATTTTATTGCCAACAATCAAATACTTGAGGTGTTTGATTTGAGGGTGATAATGTTTTCTCTATTTGTTTTTGTTAATATATGGAGGGATTCTAAGTGTAAAGCTTGTTCTGTAATTCTGTAAATCTCCAGTTGTCTGGTTTCCTCCTGGCAGCCAGGACTCTGCATGGTCTTCACAGAGCGAGGAAAATTCCAGCCTAAATCAAGGGAATTTCTATTTACTATATAATCAAGGGTGGAGTTCTTTAATTCTGCGAGCATAGAATTGACATAGCACTGGCTGTCTGTAAATCATGATGTGAAACTCCATCTTCAGGTTTTTATAGATCGTGCATATAATCTGTCTACGGAGGATGCTCAACATTCAGAGACTAGTGAATACTGTCCTAAATGTAATCATAGTCCAATAAAGACAGGGGCAGAATTGTTACTGGCTCCAGTGTGTTCAAGCTTTCACTGCCAGACTTTTTCACTGAAAAACTCTAAGCGAGAGGTCTGTTTTCTCTGCTTCCAGTTGATGGACCCTCATGAAATCTGTTTCTATTGGAAACTGCTGAAAAGGCTGAAGACATTATGCTGTGTTGGAGATTCTGTAGGGATGCTGTACTGAAAAAGAAAAATAACTAAAAATCAAAATTTTTTTAAATGACATTGGTGATGTTGGGTATTTCATGAGGAATTATTTTACACAGAGCCTGCCATCAAAGAAGGTGAAGTGGTGGAACAAAGAGGGTCCATATGACATTCAAATTGTATGAAGCTTGAAGTTAACCTCAATTTGAGCCCGCGGCAGATAAAGTCCGTATATTGCTTAGAAAACTTACTTTACACGATGCTAGGTGTATGTCTATAATACTACCTTCCCGTGCTGCAAAAGCCTCAGTCAAAATGATTTTCAAAGATAAGTAAAAATGAATTCTTTATTTCATGGGTAGATTTGCTTCAGTTTCAGTTTTTCGGTACTGCTGTATGGTCTTTCTTTTTTTCACTTAGTAGGCAAAAATCCAAAATTAACTTAGCAGATAATGTTTGTGCCAAAAAAGCATTTCTTTTGTCTTTTTGTACCCATATTGTACTTCACCCTGTGCTTCAAAGCTGAATTCAATCACTGATGAAAGAACTGAAGTTAGGTCACAGGGCACAAAAACTATGAAACACTGCAGTTGTTTTCATCTTCTTTGTAAATAGTAAAAAAATATACTTTCTACTTCACAAAGTTTTCTAGTAAATTCTACATATATGCATATATATGTATATATTTATAGTGATTGTTTTATGCTTGGTATAAGTGTTTTCTCATATTGTATAATGTTTTGGGTGACTAACATTGTTTGGATGTAGTTAATATTTTAAAAATGTTATACATGTTAATCTTACTTCCATGAACTTGGAGGCGGTTTTTTTTATGTATTTGAATGGGTGAACATGGGAATGATGGAAGTTATTGAAAATGTTTACATCAAAATAAGGTGTCAATTTTAGCATGACTGTTGCTATTTGTGCCTGAATTTGACTTCTCGCTATTGATGGATGTTATTGTAGGAGGAAAATGGCTTTGTAATGACTTTCACAGTGACACTTATTTAGATATGTCTGTTACAGTTGATCTTGAGTCATAACGCTGTTGTTGGCTTATAAACTGTAACAGTTGAAAAATATGAGGGAGCAATCAGAAATGTATTCTGATGAAAAATGCATCATTCCATTCTCATGTGAGCTCATGTCATATTATTTTATCCGTAGTTGTGTGTATATTTCCATTTAGATGTATCCATATGCACAGACATTATCTAAATAGCCTGTACATAACTATAGAAGAAGTCCTCCAGCATTAAGCTACGTGTCCTGCAAAAAATGTACTATGAAATATAAAGTGATGAGGGATGTATTAGTGCATGCCTATTCTGCAGTCAGGTAGTATTTTAAAGTTCCTTTTTAGTAAACATTATTTTTAATAATGAAAAATAACCAGCAAGATTTGAGATAGAGCTATAGACATGTCACACACTTTCTGTGAGCTGTTTTGAGGAATTAGCAGCTTTTTGTTTTCCTTCCATATTCTGTAGGAAGAGAACAACTCTCCTCTCACTGGGGACTTATGTGGAACATGAGCGTGCATATCCCTTTCTAGCTCATATTTGAGTGGAATGCTAAACTTTTTCAAATTATTTTAAAGTCTTCTACTGCCTTTACATAGAAAATCCAAGATTGTAAAACTTCCTTGTTCAGCTGCTTAACTGCCATTGAAGAATAAAATCCATTATGCTAAAATGATGAAATTTTGCAGTCCAGAGCTTCCCATTTCTTCTAGGCTCACTAGAAAGTGAATGTGATTCCTGTACAAAATCCTTCCTCACTCTCCATCTTCTCAGAAAAAAAAAAAAAATTCTGGGAAAATTCTCAATACATATCTCAGAACAGTCATTCTTTCTATAGCTGTAACGTAGCAGTGTCTCCGCAGGGTGCTTACCTACCTGCCTGGGTGTGTTCTCATACTCTGTTATAATGAGTTATTTAAATGCTTATTAAGGTGTGTGTACTGATTTGATGCTCAGGGAAACATACTGTATATCTTTATATTCTAATTGATATTTTCCTCATTCATCCTTCCAGTACCTTAATAAGAGACATCATGGTGTATTTATTAACAAATGTTTGCTTTCTCATTCTAGCTATACTGCTAATTTGTTTGTCAAAATCCTTGCTTTCTCTAATACTGTCTAATTACCATCTACAAAATTTGGTTGAAATATACAGCTTCTTATTTTGTGTACGTTACTTACAGTACTTCTTAATCATGTATGCTTTGATGTCCTGTTGATTTGGCTAAAATCTACTCTCTCTGAAAAAATGGGAAGTCTGTCTCTCAGATTAAGTGGACACTCAATGCAGGAAATGCCTTGCAGGATAAGGGCTCGTTCAGTAAAGTCTGTATAGTATTTGATATAATACCTGAGAAAATAAGTTGGGATTGATTTTTAAATTCTTGACTTTGAAATACAACAGATAACAGAGCTTTTAATGAATAATAGTCTGGGAGTTAGATTATTCTGTGATTGGAAAGGTTTAGTTAAAGAATTGGACTCGAGAAGTGTTCCTGTTTGTAGGAATAGGGCTGGGAAAGGGATTTACAGATACAGTATCATTTTTTTAGTGGATGGCAGATGGGCGCAACATTCTGAGAAGTATGACACTGACTTTGTGCTCGTTTTGAGGAGGTTTGGTGTTAATCTGAGGTACTAGATCTTTAGTCTTACTGGAGTGTGTATGATAATGTGCTTACTCTTTCAGTGTAACACAGTTCATGCTTCCAATTTTGTCAGCCCAAATCGTACGATCGATTAGAATAAAGTACCCCAAACAATCAACAGATTAAGTATGTATATGGATTTCTGATTCTCTTATTTACCTTGTCAATTTAAAATTCCTAGTTTTGTACTTATATCATCCATGTTCTCGCAGACAGGAAGGATGTAAATTACTTGATAAGAAAGCCGGAATTCTCCTGTAATAGAAAGTTTTCAAGATTTAAGGCTTTATGAAATTTACAAGTAAATGGAAATCAGAAGATGTAATCTGTCAGCCTGATAATATTACTTAGGTACTTCATAAAGGATTTCGAAGCCTTTGATTATTTTTGAAAGTCTCAACAACTTTGAAATAAAAAAATGAAAGCCCACTGAGGAGGAGTTGTATTTCATCACTTTCTAATGTGCAAAAAAAATACTGCTTCGAAATGGATGCAACCTTTTCTGACACTCCTGTTGGGTGACTGGAAAAAGTTGGAAGGGGTTTGTTTAGTTGGTCTTTTCCACCTTTTTCTGAATTGTGAATGTTGTGTGCACTTACAAATGAGGCTTGGCTCAGCCCATCACTGATATTTGCAGTGACATCTAGTGGACTGTTTCTGCAACTGTACATTAACATCTAACGGTAACACACTGGTAGAGAAGTCTGCCTGCTGTAGCTTCGTCATTTAAACGTCTTCTCTAGCATTTCTACTGCATCTGTGATGTCAGTGTTCTTTATATGTCTCTGTACTTGTGGGCAAGCCCTTTAATTTGCTATTTTCTTAAATGCTTATAGACTGAAGACCCAACCATGGAAAGGCCATACACATTTAAGGATTTCCTTCTCAGACCAAGAAGGTGAGAGAGAGGACCTTTGTGTTTTAAAACATTTCTTACTTCAAGGTTTGTTATTTGCAGCTACTTAAGGGTTGTTGAATGCAATGTACTTCCTTGTCTTCTAGCCACAAATCTCGTGTAAAGGGTTTCTTGAGACTGAAGATGGCTTATATGCCTAAAAATGGTGGCCAAGAGGAAGAAAACAATGATCAAAGGGATGAATCTGAGGTAAGGCTTAATGCTTGTGGAAGCATTCAAGTTATTAGAGATTCAAGTATAATTGTAGAAAAAGTTGTACCTTTGAAAGATAAAACTCTCGTAACAGTGCTAGTAGCAGCTTACTCTCCTCACCCCCCAGCTTTTTTTTTTTTTTTTTTTACTGTAACCTGGTGTTTTCTCAACCACTTCAAGTATTTCAAAGTATTTCAGCTGCCACAATGAATTCTAAAGTCTGTCTGACTCAGTTTGTGAGCAATTAGAAGTGGAATTCATACGAAGTAGAAGAATTCAGAAAGTCTATGCAAGTAATTTATAAACATAATGGTCTGTATTAGGTGCCTCTTCTTCAGAGGCCATTTCAAAATACGTGTTACAACATTTTTCTTTATTTCCTTGGCAGCGTTGACTTTGCAGAGAATAAAGCTCATGCAAGCACAGCAGGTTTCAAGACTTTTCAGCACTCTTGTCAACCATCATCCATTTTAAGAATTAGCTGCAATTAGGGCTGACAGAGTGAACGTCATCCCAAGTTTGCCTTACTAATAGTTTGCAGCAGTCATCTGTAACTTGGGAATGAGGGCTCTCATCCCAAGCCATACATCTCTGAGTTCAAAAGTTAGCAGTTGGTTCTCTCTGGCTTCTTGACGGGGAATCTGCAGCTGGCCACCACTAGAATGAGCAACTGCCCAAATACATTTGGGAATCCCTGTTGTAATAGACTGATGGGATTTTAGGTTGTTTGTTCTTGAAGTGAGGTGCACACTGTAACCACGGAGCTTATTCTGTTTCTATATGGTTTACATTTAAGTAATTCTGAATTTCTCTTTGGAAAATTTTCAGAATCTGCACCTATACACTAATGTAAGCAACAATGAAATAACTTCTCTTTAACTTGAACTTTAAAATTTCCCCCCCCACCCCATTCCTAAGCATGGATGGGATGTGGTTGATTCCAGTGACTCCGCATCTCAACGTCAGGAGGAGTTACCACCTCCTCCACTGCCTCCTGGATGGGAAGAAAAGGTGGACAACCTGGGGCGGACTTACTATGTCAACCATAACAACAGGACTACTCAGTGGCATCGACCAAGTTTAATGTAAGTGGCAGTGCAGTGCAATGTTTTGTGGATGTGTGCAAAATTACCAGTAAGTAGTGATTTTTTTCCAACAAACATAACCATTTTGAATTTACAACTTCAAGGCTGGAAAAAGTCTTAAGCAAGACATTTACAAAGCAGTTTATAAAGGCACACCATTCTTTTTGGTAACAGATTAATTATGATTTTGGTGCTAACTGTGCTGTGTATATGAAACCATACTTTATTCATGGAAAAATTCTCACAGATGTGCTAGTAAATTGAGAACCAAAATCTGGAGATCTTCAGTTAAAAAGGAAACATCTTTTTTTTTTAAGGATGAGAATAGACTTCCCCACCCCCAGAAAATCACACATGCACTTAGGTATTCTGGGAAATTCTAGGAAATCTGAAGGGGCGGGAGGGAAGCCAGTGCATTAACAATGTACCTTAGAATATTGGGAGACACGTGGAATTTTTCAGTAAGTAATTTAACAGAATAAATTACTTTCTTCTATAGAGACTATTGAAAAGGCAAGGAAAAAAAAATGTCAACTCTATTAAGTTTTAATTAAGTTAAACTGATTAACTTTGAGGAGATCCTGATTATTATTCAGTGTATAGACTGCATTACCTATGTACACTGGTTGTGCTTACGTGGAGTTCCTGTTCAAGCCTTCATTATATGTTTCTTATGATTAGATTTATAAAGCTGTGGCAAGCTTACATTTTAAAAAGTATGTATAATTGACAATGTTGAGTTATACTGAAATCTTGTATTAGGTAAACATCTTGCATTATTTTTATGTAGCGACTATTCTTCCGCTATTGCTTATTACAACAGTAATGGTTATTCTTTCTTGCATATTCATAATCATAGCTAAATTACGCAAATGTGTGTTGTCCTTTTTTAAGGCACTATTTGTTGTTCTTGTCTGATGCGTTTATCTTAGTTAGAACTGAATTAAACTTTTTTCTTTATGTTTTGAACTATTTACTGTTGAACTATTTGAGCTATTTACTAAGCGATGTGTATTTTGTCAAGCAAATCTCTTCAACTACTATCATTATGATTTGTAATGGTGAATAAGTGTCTATAAAAAAGCAGGTTTTATAAATTATTTGATGTGGCACCTCCTTGTAATCCAATTATGCTAGACGAAGTAAAGAGTACATGGATTCAGAAATGTTTGACTGGCAGATACCAAAAAATAATCACCACTAGAAAGCATCATCAGCACATGGGTGTATATAATGAAGGCCTCAAGGGTTCACTTTTAGCTAGGCATCATCACAGGTAGTTTGGAAACAAATGTGTAATTACTACTGATAAACTTTATGCATGACACCAGGCTTGGTGAAGAGTGAAGACTTCAGAATGATGCTGTTTAGCCTTTAAATTCTATGAATTTATGAAACCACTAGGAGCGGAAGGTCTCGTGAGGTTGAAAGTAGGATACATAACCTCTCACTTTTAGGCCAGTAACTCACATGCTAAGTTGGTCAGCAAGGAAAAATATTGAGTGCTCTACAGTCTGTGTCTGCAGTAGGAACACGAGAGTAGTTCATTTCTCATAGTTCTTTAAAATGTGCAATGATAAAATGATTGCACAAAGAAGTTCTTCCTGAACATAACCATCTTTCAAAGTTACAGTCTCTCATCTTGAAGGAGAGGTTCAAATACAATACTGCCTTCTAACAACATCTGCCCATTGAGTACTGTAGTAGAGATTTATATCTAGCTGTGCACATTGAGAAGTCCCACAAGCCAGGCAGGTCTCCATTAAGGGAACTGGGGTATTTTCCATTTCCACCACTGCTGGTGTGAGCCAAGCTGGTCGTTGCAGCCAGTTCAAAAAGTTATCCATACCGCAACAGCTTGCATTTGCTTTGGCTATCAAAAAAAGGAAAGCGATAGTTGCCATAAAGACAGGGGCAAAGGTAAAATCTCTGTGTTGGGAATGATTATGGTCATCACAGGAAAGGATGAGTAATGATGGGTTAGTATAGTTGAGTGTGGACTTCTATTTCTGCTCACCCCACTTTGATGTATAAAGAATGTTAATTTCCATTGTTGCATGACATTTGTGAAATGCTTCCAGTTTTATTTACTTTGGATTGAGGGATTAAATGGTCTCCTATTTATGAAGCCTGACATATGCAAGAATAATGATTTTTATAATCAAAATCATTAATGAGGTTTTGAAAGCTATGGACAAAGTAGGTGTTTTAGTTTAACATTCATTATTTTCTTGTTCTTTTCTCCTTCACATGCTTTCATTTCCCCACTATCCAGTGATGTGGGATCTGATTCAGATAACAATATAAGGCAAATAAACCAAGAAGCAGCCCATAGGCGGTTCCGCTCTCGTAGACACATTAGTGAGGATTTGGAACCAGAACCTATGGAGATTGGAGACATTCCTGAGGTATGTAAAGGTCTTGGTTTTAAGAAGTTGACTACACTTCAAGCTGATGTGTTTCTCATTTGTAATTACTATATAACAATACATAGTAATGTTTTTACATGGTGTCTATGGAAATTGCCTAAGTAAGGTACCAGTGGCAATAAAAATCCTAAACAGAGCTATACTTTCAAGGACCCATGCATTTGTGGGTGCCTGATAATGTATGCACAATACTAAATACTATACAAATGCTGGGAGAAACATTTCTAATTCCAAGCATTGCTTGTTATATATATGTTGATAGAAACACTTTCAATATTCTGCTTTGAATAACAATGGAATAAGTCGTAAAAAGAAGGGAAACTTGCTGGCTGGAACTGCCATATATTTCAATTTTCTTTAGTGTCTTGATTTAGAGGAAAGAGAAGCTGTTGGTTTGTTTCCTAGAATGCTTGGTTTTAGTTAGAATTCTGAGATCTTATTAATCAGAGTGAGTATTTGTTTAATTTATATCTAGACTAAATAAATTAAATTTGGTAGATATTTTTAGGCCTAAGTGAGAGTTTGTGCAAAGCTCGAATCTCATTCAACTTTAAGGAACGTTTTATTATGTGAACCACAGACAAAATTCTTTGTGAAAGCTAGTTTTGGTTCACTAAGTGTTATTCAGAGCAACAAATAGATTGCTGAAACTGTTGTTGGCACTCGTCACCTGTTAATATTTGATTTGCAGATACTAATGGGTCCTTTCTATTATGCATTTTATTCTAAATTAAAATTAACAGTTATTTCTTACAAGTTTTTAGTAAGAGTGCAGAATTAGTTATATTTTGAACAAAATTTCAAAATAGAATTTATTTAATGAGAGCTCTTTTTTATGCATCTTTTCATCTACATCATTTTCTGTGTTGAATCATAAAGCATTGTGTCATCATCAACATGAAGACCATTTTGAATTCAGCATGAAAACCATTTTTCCCTGTGACTACTTCACATTGCTTAGAGTGTTTGTTTACATGTTCTAGGGATTGGTTTATTTTGTTAAATATTAAGGCTGATTATCACACCTGTGTTTGCCGCAATGAGGTGATCACATAGAAGGCAAAGGGAAAGAAGACTCTATCTGTCTTTATAAATGCTTAACGTAGTTTCTTCTCTTTTGTTAGCCTTGGGAAACCATTTCAGAGGAGGCAAGTGCAAGTGGAGATTCCTTAAGCTTGTCATTGCCACCTCCTCCTGCATCTCCAGTATCCCGTACCAGTCCTCAGGAGCTATCTGAGGAACTGAGCAGAAGACTTCAGGTCACTCCTGATTCCAATGGGGAACAACTCAGTTCTTTGATTGTAGGTGACAGGCTGCTTTTTCTATATAAACCTCTATTACTGTCATCATCTCTTAGTCTGACCTAATCTGAATCATTTACACGGATGGGTAGTAATTGCTGGTCTCAGGAAAACCTGAACATACAGTTAAAATTATCTTCAAAAAAATGCATCATAATTTCACCATTGAGCAAACTGCCTTGAACAACAGAATTCCTCAGTTTAGATTTAATGTTTTCTTCTGTGTGAGTTTAACTTCAGACTCTGCTACTGTTACACCTTTAGTGAAACAAAACATGTAATGCTAGAGAGTACCAAGCTAAGAATTTCCAAAGGAAAGAGGAAAAACTGCTAATGCTCTTTCAGTCATCATCCATTTTTCTACATGATAATTTGTCTTAAGTTCAGTATTTTAACGGTACATGTTTATATTAAAGCATGTGCTTTCTTATATTAGGATTTTATAAACCTCTCATAGTTTACTGGACTAACTATTATAAGACTAATGAAGGATTAGAACTGAAAGTAGGTAGTTCTTGTGAAATCTTCCACAAGTTTGTAAATGGCTAGCTGGAAAAAAATTGTCTCTCACCATAAGAGTTTACTTGAGGTAAAACCAAAAAATGTCCTCTATATTTGTGTAATCCATTAGTTTGTTAGACTGATGATACCACAAAAAATAAGGATAATACAGTTGCGGGTGGGGAATGTTTTATGTCTCTTCGATTACGAAAAACAATTGTAAGTTTTAAGCAGAACATCATGCTGTGATTTGTTCATTTTTTTATTCTTGGTATATGCCATCAAGGTAATTTTTATTTACTTTTATTAATATTTACTCTTGTTCTGATTAAATAGAATCTTGATTAGGTGCAAGTTTTTCACAAAAAGCTTATGCAATAGGTGTCTTACAATGATTTGAATATTATCTAGAGGTTAGTTAGCAAATTAAAGCTCTGATGGCTAACCATCTGCATAAAGAGTCACTTGTGCTTTTGTAGATGACTGCGGCTTTTAGTAGACCTTCACTTGAAGGGCAGGAGATTAATCAAATAGTTTCAGTGGCAAGATCAGGGCCTACATTTTTTTACACCAAAAATAATAAATAAATGGTATAGCTGCAAAGTTATCTTAATTAAAATAATTCGATAATTACATTCCTATACAAACTAGTTCTTTTATGAGCCATTAAGTGATAACATCTTTCTTAGCAGTGCAATAAAAATTATAATCAGACCACACTTGCAAAGTAAGAAATTGTCAAAGCATTTAAAATCTGTTACTGTGCATTATCCAGTGTAAGAGGGTGTTGGGATACTGAAAGTAACAGAAAAAAACAGACAGTGAAATTACTCTAAAATGCCTCGCTGAGGCCCCCAGAAGTCTGCATGCAGAGACTGAGTGGGTCAGCAGTGTTTAGTGTGTAGCCCTAGCCTATCAGTCAAGGCAGCTCATGGCTCTGAACTGTGCTTCCCACAGCTCTGGCCTCCGTGAGGGCTCACGGGCCTTATCCAGCACTTAAGTCTGAGCTGGTTCCATGTGAAGGAACAGTGCTTACCCTGGGCTAATAAATCCTCCCCATTTGGAGATTGGCGAGCACAGTACAGAGACATCTGAGAGCTTCATTTGGATTGAGCCAGGTAGGCAGGAAAAGTTTGGCACTTCCAGCTGAACACAAGCTATATAATCCATGTGCTCAGGTATTTCCATGTGACATTTCCTCTTGATCCAGATTCCTGAAGGCTTGTGAGATCAGCTTCATGACTTTGCATGGAGGAAGCTTGGATCGAGGGTTTTTCCCAAACCCACCAGCTCCAAACTGGCTTTACATAAAGCTGGCTCAGCTCTGCAGGTTGTGAGCTGAAACTAGAAGCCCTTACAGTTGCATTTCCCCAACAGCGTGCCTATACTAGTATATCCAGCCTGACCTTTGGTTGTTTTACAGACAGCTTCAATGTCTCTACATCCATACACAGTTCATCTACAACACAGCTAAATTGCCAACAGATACTTGAGGAGTGGTTGTATGTGTGTTAAAGTATGTTGTCACTCTCTTCATATATTATGTAATGCCAGAAAACACTTCAGACTTGTTGGTCAATACATTTGTCAGACAAATCCTTTCACGTTAATCTTTAGCATAGCATAGAAGCAAGGTGTAATTACATCATCTTTTCTATATTTTTTTTTTAAACACTGCTCTTTTAAGCTAATGTGCTCTTAGGACTGATGTATTCAAGTAAGAGTTGGAGTTTCTGATATGTCTCTCAGATAGTTTGCTTCATGGTGTTGCTTTGTTGTCTTTCAGTGATACATAAGGGTGCCCATGTGAGCAGTTATAAATAGGCTAGGTCATTTGCTTGATTATTAGTGCAGTCATTCTCATACCATTAATATCCAGAAGAGGGTAATGCTGGTTACTCTTTGATTAAAGATAAGGTATCAATTATGCAAAATAATAAGTTTAAGAATTACCCAAGGCTTGTTTCTGTATGTGGAATTTACAACCTCAATCAAACCACACAGAAAAGCTGTGTGAGAAAATGCATTTGAAGTGAAATGCTATTTAGATGCTGATTGATTTTATTGAATACTGTATAAATACTGTATTTTACTGAATACTGGTCAGCCCTGAAGTGGTCAGGCAGTTGGACTAGATGATTCTTGTAGGTCCCTTCCAACTGAAATACTCTATTCATGGCTTTCTTTGTTGCCAGCTCTCATGACTACAGTATTTGTATATTTTTTTCATTATAGGGGATTTCTCATGAGTAACAAAAAATGATTGCTGATGCCATGCCTAATGCTTTCTAGATGTCTTGGTACCAGCTATGGGGATATTTCAAAATTACTGTAATACTGACGTATTTCTTATGTTGGACTACACCTTGTAGACCAGGTATTAATTCTACAGGGCAATGGTTGCTAACTGATGTAGGCAGAACATTAGTTCCTTCTTAAATATAAAGAATATTAGTGTGGCACATTAGTTCCTCCTGAAACATTTTTTAATTGGATAGCAAACGTCTTGTTATCAAGAAGTAAAAGCTGAAATTATCTTTGGAGGTCCTCCTTGTAATTTTGGGATGTGAAGAAGCCTCTGTGGCTGTGAGTCCCACAAACAATGTCACAGCAAGTGGAAAATGTTATTATTGATCCTTGTCACTTCTCAGGTGCTGTCCCTTTGTAATCGGAGCCTGTCCCACATGGAATGGAATTCAGTCACTTGACACCACTGTGCTTTATCACCTTATTTTTGATAAATCTCACAGGTTTGTGAGGAATTATGTTTTAGTATCAAGCAGACATGCTAGCATATCTGCTTTTTTTAGGGCTTTTTTGTTTCTGATTCATGATCATGAAGGATGTGTCTTGGGAAGTTCAAAAACTAGAAAGGCAAAGAGGAAAATTAAGACTTGATTTTTTAAAAAAGATACTGTAAATTTTTATAGTAAATAAATTTTTAAGACTTTTGACGTCTCACCCATAGTATTTGATTTTGGATTTATTTTTTAATGCCTAATTTTTGTCAATAATGCATGCCATCTGTGAATTTCACCATGAAGTAATGAAAGCCAAGGTGAAGCATTCACTCCCTGAAGGGTTGTATTACAGCTACAGTTTTTATTGCAATGTCTGGTTTTAAGAGAAGTGTCATCTGCTTAATTTTTGTCTAGGAAACAATGTTCTTAGCTTAATTGGTCAGATTTTTTTCCATACCTCTTACAATTTTTTTCTTGCTGGACAAATTGGCCTGCTTTTATATTAAGATTTCCCATCACTTACAAAATCATGTGGGACAGGATTTTTAACATAAGACTTGCCCTTTCTATTTGACATTTCCAAAGAAATTCATAGCAATTCACCTGATCTTCACTGAGTTCCAACCAGAATTCCTGGAGTCAGTATTTTGACCTGGGGTAATACTGCTGCGTTCTGCTATTGTTTTTATGACACTAGGGAAAAAAAAAAATCACATCTTTTTTCTGTCAGAATTTGTTCATGTTGACATTTCTCCTTTAGAAAAATGAATGAGCCCTTTTTTTATATAATATATATGAAGGGTCACTGACAACAGAGAAATTGTATATACCACTACCTAGTAAAATAGAAGTAGATACTAATTGTTTATAGGAGATTTTATTGCAAAGAGGTTTGTACCTGTAAAACATAAGTAATCTGTCTAGCAATTGGGTATATTCTAATGTCCTTTTCTTTTGGTATTATTTATATTACATTTATAGGTGCCCTAATGGTCATTACAATATAGAGTTCTATCTCTAGCAGTTAGTTTGGTTTTGTATGAAATTTCTGGATTAACTCCAGCCAGCAAACTTTTGCGCACTTCTCTGCCATTTGTTAAACAGTAAACTTTAAAGTTGTTCTTAACGTTGTTATTATTGAAGAGTAAGCTAAGCATCATGTACTAAGATGCACATTTGGAAATATCTTAATATGCCGACAGATGATCTCAGCAAGGCTCCCACTGTGGCTGTAATCCCAGTGCAAGTTCTGCAGAATTTGCTGCTTTCCCAGCCACAGGCTCAGAATGTCGTAGACACGAGAACCACGCCTCATCCCCTGCATAGGATTGGCATCCTCTTGTGCCCCTGTGCGAGTAATGAGTATAGGGGTTAACTGGTACAGCAAGCCATATGTAGAAATCTGTTAACTCTAGCCTATTGATTTTCCAAGGACTACATTGCCAATATTCAGCCAGAAGTTTTACATTTTCCTTATACCGCTTATGCTCCCTCCAGGTTCTCTAAAATGTCTTCCAAAGATACTTGAAAATAGTTTCTCAAAAGTTCCATGGCATTTTCCCCATTATGTCTTTAGTTAATCTTCCCCTTTACTGCTGATTCCACAGCTGTTGATTTTCCCACGTGTTCTCCCAGATGGGATGGCCTATCCTCTTCTCTTAGATTAGGTCAATAAAACATTGTAACTTGGATGCTAAAGATGAGTACAAGATGTGTATCCAAGTACTTTCCTTAGTTAATCTGAAACAGTCCAGGATGGAATGCTGAGAATTTTGATTTTTCATTGCTTTCCACGTTTCTGTAGAAGTATTAAAACTAAAGATACTGCAACATAAATATTATTTTTTAGGGGGTTGGATTAAATGGGAGAAAAGTAAAATTACTGAATAAAAGCCCATTTTTTAAAACACCTTAACTTAAAGACATCTCTCTTTTTTTTTGTTTCCAGCAAAGAGATCCTTCTTCAAGATTAAGATCTTGCAGTGTAACAGACACAGTTGCTGAACAGTCTCAGTTATCCTTGGTAAACCAAAGCTAACTTCTATTTCTTTCTTTTTGTTTCAACATTTTCTGATTCTGAATAATATCTTATCTTAGGTCAGTTCTAGTCAGATATAGATCAGTAACCAGTATGGGCATATGACTATCCCAAATAGTATTGGATACCAAATTAATGTCATCATGGTCAGCAACTAAAATGAGGACACTCATGAGAGAGAATAATGTTTTGAGACTGAGAGCATAGTCACACTAACTCTAGTTATCTAGCATAGAAATTTAGTTTACTAAACTGTAGATACATAGTCAGTGGAGAGAGAAAATCCTCCAAGGGGTGTTTTCGGCTGGGGTAGGAGAGGGCAGTGGCACCACTGACACTTGGAACTGTAGCAGCCACAGGACTCTCCTATCCAGGTATATTTTTGTGTCTCGTAAATTGATTTTACTTGGAATATATAAATCTGTATAATATTGAAAAAGATTGGTGTTTTACCTAGTTGTAGTTAAAAGGAGCCTTTTTGTGATAGTCCTTGTACAATAGAACTGAATAGAATTGCATCTGTTGTAGTTTTTTAATCTGAATGATTTAGCAGCTTCTTCTGTGATTTTATTTAAGTAGATTCTTCAAACAGGAAAAGATACAAAGATTTTTTTTTTAAAAAACATTCTCTTTCACATCATAACCATGTATACCTTTGATCTAATTGATAGAAAGTTCTACATATTTTGTCCTACAACCCAAGTATGAGGATTGCAAAGGTGGTAAGCTATAGAGAGACTATTTAAAATAGGACTGTGCAAGATATGCTTTTGAATAAAACTGTTCAGATTTTAAAAATAATTCAGTATTTTTAAAAATGCTACTTTTTTCCAGGAATTTTTTTCCCAATTTTTTATTAGAAATATATTACATATGAATAGCAAATTTGTGTATCTTTTTAATGGAAATATTGAGTAAATAGAGTATATCAATAAGTTTGTTATTAAAGCTGATGTCTCTCCTTTGCTTGTTCTTTCTGTTGCTATTGGGCAGACATTTACAATAACCACGGTGTTTCTCTCCTTGTTTAATTTTTTCACCTGTTCTAGAAGTTGTTAGTGTATCTACATTTGCTGCTCACAAATGCATGTAATAGCTGTTGTTCCAAGAACTGCTTCTGAAGTGTTATCTGTTTCTTTACTTTCTCTTCTGGGTAAACAGTGGTGTGGTTTCCAGTATAATTCCACCTTAACTGTCTTCCCTCTCTACTGGACAAAGCTGTCTCCTAATGCAGTCTGTTCCAGAGGTGTTCTGCTTCTTTATTTAATATCACTTTATGGAGTCTGGGTTTCCTATCACTTTATGGAGTCTGGGTTCCTTTAACTGCTGTAGTCAGATTGGGATTGGTGATGTGTCTTTCACTTTATTATTGTAGAACGCTCATTTCATTAGCAGATGTTCAAAACAGCAGAATTGAAAGCATTGCTCTAAAACAAGGATGTTAACTGATCTTAACCATATTTAATCCTTACTAAGCTAATGATAATTTATCTTCTAGCAACTAAATACGTACTTTCTTTCTAAATACAGTGCTGTTCTTGACTGTATTAATCCTTACTGAAAATTCAAAGTACCAGTTCCGTCTCTTTCATCTGGCTTTTTCTGTGCAGTCATTGATGACTAGAATGTATCCATTTTGGTTTTAAATACCATGTTTACGGGCAGAACGTGCAAAATTTATTGGGAGGGGTTTAATAAGATCATGTTACATTTAGAGTAAATGTTCTTATTATTATCATTAGCAATACTGAACATATATAATTGGATACAACAACTCTTGAAATTAGTTCCCTTGGTGGTTTTTGTATAAGGTTCTGACCTGGTTATCAGTGATTGATGACTCAATTTTTTTGCTATTATCTTAAACATTATTTCCATCTAATTGCTGTCTCAATAAATTTGACTGTCTGTGATTCCCTACTCCTAAAGGTGTGACAGTAATCTGTGACCTTCATCACTAAATATACTTATCTGTAACATTCATTATCATTTAACAGCAGAGTGGTCCATCTAGGAGAGCTCGTTCTTCAACTGTCACAGGTGGTGAGGAACCAACGGTAATAATACTCTTTATCAAGCACTATCTCTAAATAAAACGTGGGTAGATTTAGGTCTTGTACAACAACGAACTTTTTTTCACAAAGCAGCGGTGTGTTGGATGAAACAGTCACTGAATCAATAGTTACCTTTTCTTGTTGTTTCAAATTTTATCAAAACACTGCGATTTCACTCAAATACTAGCATGTTTTAATGATGTGGATATGCCACTGAGTTTTAACAAAACTGTGCACTAAGGAGATACCACAGGCTTCTGAAAAATGAAAGACACAATACCTAATTCTTTAAAAACAGATACTGAATGAATTAGGGATTAGAGACATCAGATGAGTATACATCTAGCTGTGTTTTTCGCTTGCCTCTGTCTTCCCTTACTCTCCATTAGACTAATTCATTTTAATTCTTAAAGTTGATTGTCATTTGAGAACCGTGGAGGTACAGTGATGTATCATATAGCTCTTAATGGTCTTATTTAATGCCAGTTTTCATTTTCCAGTAGTTGTTCAGCAGTCCAAGGCTGAATTCTTACTTTAGTCATCCAATAAAATTCTGGAAGTGCTTTTCTGAAAGTGTAATACAAGGAAAGTGGTTTTAATTTATATTGGACTTTGTCAAAAACATCCCCTTCTTTTTTAACCTGATTAAATGTCAGTCTGAAGCAAGTTATTTCATAGAAATCATTTTACAGTAACTATCATAAATAGCTTTTATGAATATGTGCACTCCTAGATAATTTGTTTCAGGGAAAGAAACATAATTTAGACTTGGTATGTTTCCTATTTGTATTTGATAATGTCAGATCTTAATTTAGGTGTTGATGCATCATTCTGTAATACTGTATATATGTACTGGTTTTTGAATTTTAGAATCAGAGGAGCATACTTGTGTTTTATTACTGCAAATAGCTTTTTTTCTTTGTTTCCTTGCAAAACCTGCTTGACTTGTTAATCATTAGTTAAAATGCATGCTATATTGAACTGTAGTGTAAAGAAGGTCTTTTGTTGGCAGAGCATCTTGTCTTGATCATACTTTTTAGAGCAAAATACTAATATTTTTCTGCAAATAACTGAGTTTAAACCTCACTGACTCATAATTAATACAGCTATGTCATAGATGTTTTACCTAATTATATTGCAGCTTACTAATGGGACCCTACCCCCCACTTTGTCTTCATTCAGCGTGCATTTATACTCTGAAATCCAAATCTGCAGAGGACTTAGGACTTAAATAGGATTCATGCATTTAAATCCAAAAGCAGCCTCTTCAAAGGTTGCCATTCTTTTTGTCCTTTAGGCACCTAAAGTTTGTAGGCATACAATCTGTCAATAGTAGAAGTTTCTAGGTCACTTTAGTTTTGCTTTCAGAATCCTATAAAACCCCTCATTGATATGGGACCCACAAATTAGACGTTCTTCAGCCTCAGTCCCTAAAGCAGCATGATTCTGCAGGCATGCTGGGAGCATGTCTAGCACAGAGGCACAGGGGTGGACCGCGCAAAAATGCAATGCTGTGGCATCTTAAGAAGTGATGATGCCCCTTTTTATAACTGGCTTAGTTGAGTTACTTAAGAGTAACAAGCACAGAGTTCTGTGCCCTCCTACGTATGAGATGATTTAAATCCACATGGCTCTTTCAGGAATAGTCCCAGTGCAGGACTGTCTTCCTCTTGAATCTGTTTTGCAGTGAGAATGAAAGACACGTTGCCCGGGTGAGGGAGCGATAACTGTGCTTGGCTCTTTAGCCTGATGAGCAATGCACTCAGCGAGTTGAGCCCCTTCAGGAACAGCAGTTAAACCCAAGAGTGGCATATCCTGATTGATTGCTTTAATTACTGTTATTTTGTGTGAGAGTTGATATTACCGTCATGGCTCCACCCTGTCTGTTTTAGAGTGTGATTAAAGTAGGAAAAACTCTGTGTTGATTTGTGGTTTGTCTTAGCAAGCTTTGAGGCCTGAGGAGGCTATTAAAGGGCGTATTCATGCAAACTAATGTTACCTGATTCTCCCCCCCACCTTGGGTCCAAGTCTAAGCATTTAGATCATAAGAAATTGATACACTAAATATTATGTATAACTAAAAATGTTACATCTGCTGTAGATACAGCGTGGCTGACTTTTTATATTGTCAGTGACAGAAGATGAGTAGATTTGTTACACTTGAGTGTGTGTAATGAAGTAGGTATTGATTGTAGATAAAGTGCATGTTTGGGTAAATATGTCTGTGGTTATTAACCACTTTGCTTTTCAGGATTTTTTTTTTCTTTAAGTCCCCCAATGTCCTTTACCATTCCTCTGTGAAGGCCACATTGTAAAACTAGGCTGAGCAAAACATATGTTAATGCATCGTGTGTCCCAGCATCTCCATTCTTGTGACATTTTGTCCTTAACCATAATACTCCCCCCCGCCCCCCAGTATTTATTGAAGACAGTTGTTAAAAAGCACTCAGTTTTTGGGAAAAAGGCTCTTGATAAATCTCCCAAGTTTCTACTCTATATGGTAGAGTATCTTTTACACTAGTATCTAACATATGGAAAGGAGGTTGAAGGGCAAACTCTGTTTTGCAGATTGCATTATGGGTTGCATTAACCCACAGTGAATAGCAAGGAGAAAGGCTGCTGATAGCTGAATTTATTCTGATAGTGTGTTAAAGAGAAAGGAAAGATCAGGTGGCATAACTAGAGCATCGGTCTTGTGTTTCTGTATCCTCACAGTCGAAGTTGATAATTTGCAGCATGCCATCATATAGTGAATAGATTGTGTATTATTACAACTAAATGATTAAATTTTTTAATTGAAAATCCCTGAATTATCCACACCTTATGTTTACTCTGTAGTGTAGACAATAATAATAGCCTGAATAGAGCAAACATGTAAGAATGTGTAGCAGTCATCCATTAGTCCAGAAAATCTGTGAATCACTGTCAGCC